GCATCCTCTTGGCTGGTGTTTGCAAGGGGTTTTCTCTACCCCTTCCCTAGCTGCGGTGCGCGATCGTCGTTATTTGGAACTCTCGAGCTCTGCCATCCTTTGGGTTGTCGGGGGGTGGGGGGTGGGGGGGGCAGGAACAGCGTCGTTCTACGCCTGTGGCGCGTCCCGGCAGGCTCGCCGCTCCCAACAACTCAGGCAAAGTCGCGTCTTCCCTCGATGGCGCAGAGGAGGTGGGAACGCGGTAAGCATCACAAGGGTCTCGGAGACATCTGCTGAGGCGCGGGCGCCGGCCCCGTCCAGTACACTTGTTTATTGTCGGGCGGCGGGTGCGAGCCAAGCTGCAGCAGACATGATGGGCCCCGGGCGAAGCGGGCGCTCAGTGGCCGATAGATGGCAGCCGAGGGCGAAGTTGTCCCTGGGTTCGGGCAGCGCATCGGAGCCCCCCTTGGATGTCACATTCGTGGGAGACAGAGGAGTCTTGGACCATGTGCGTAACACGAGCGTGGGACTGTGCAACCCTCGGACTGAAAAAGGGAGGAGTGGAAATAACCCCGAGAGTGCCAGGCTTGGTGGTGGTCAGGGACAGATTCCGGCCCAGTGCTGATCGCTTGTCTTCCTAGTGCCATTAGAATAGTACAGCCCCTGATGCTGTCTCCTGTACTTACTGTAAAGGACCCTGGAAGAGGGAGTGGTTCATCCTAGCTGCAAACAAGGCGCCTTTTTTTTTTTTTAATTTAGAATTAAGGTAGGTTTGGGCGATACAAGGACTTGTGAACGACTTCCAGAGACAATGTTTATGAATACATTTCCTGTGTACTAAAAAGCTGGGAACCCCTAAATAAATGCAGTATCGATAGAAAGCGAGATTCTTGAAGAGTCACCTGCTAAACTCCACTAGCATCATCTCTACAGTAAGTATCTCAGACTCTTTCCATGAAACTGAGCACCTGCTCCTCAAAAGAGGGTCTTTGCGTTCATAAGGTGTGTATCCAGTGTGTGTGATATTAGTCCTAGTATTCCATCCCATGTACAGAAAAAGACTAATCAAAATAGGTGGTTTCACGCAGGTTGAAGACACATGTGTCTGTTCTTTTGATAACTGGGTAGTTTTACCACGTTAATTTTTTTTAAATCCATTTTACTTGAGAACTATATAGTATATCATGGAATCGTACTAAATGTAATTGATATTGTCTCCTCGGTAATTATTTGGGAGGATAGTGCGGTCATAATAGCATCAGTAAAGGCTCTCTTCATAACTTTCCACATCCTCTGTTTTTGTTGGGTTAGAATAATTTTTCTGGAGGTGATGAATATTGCAATCTCCTAAGGTTCTTGAAATTTCATCTGAATCTGTTTTCTAAAAATTTCTTAGATGATAATTACATTCTTGTTTGGAAACTATTTTATTTGCTTTGTTTAAATTGGGAGATGTAATGAAGAGAGAGAAGAAAAAGTAATCTGTAATATTGGGTGTTGAAAGTGAAATCTTACAATAGAACTTCTTGTTTAATTTACAGACATTTGGCCTAGGAATAATAGCCTCTTGTTTTAGGTATACTATAGAAATGGACAATTAAACTTCACCTACCAAAGACTTGTTACTGTATTATTTACTTAGTCATTATCTTCTCAAATGACATTTTAGAAATTTAATTCTAAAGTATAAAACCATATTTATATTTTGAAAATGAAATAAAGTGTCATTTTTAAAAATTATAAATTAATTGCAACTAGGAGCTTCTGCATGTGCAAATTATGTCCTCTTAGAAACAAATTTTGAATGTTGATAACTTCTATAGAAGTTTTGAAGGATTTAAAGTGGGTTAATCAGTTATTGGACTTCTAAAAAAAAGTTGAAATACAGCTACTGTAGTCCATTTCTGCATTGCTTTTTTAAATCTTCACAGATGCATTTAATATAAGATTTTAATTTAATGTTTGATTTTATATTATCTTATTGTCAAATTTAAATATATTCTGTTGAGCTAAGAATTATTAAATACATTTGCAATTGATTCTAAGTTATAATTTTGTTAGAAAAATTGACTTTAAAATGCGATTTTGTTAGAAACATTGACTTTAAAAATATTCCAGTTTACTTTCTATGATTCAAACAAATAAATGACAACTTTCTACCATTAACTGAGTATTAAGAATGACCTGAGAAATAACCATTATTATAAGCCACTAGGTGTCTCTATATGCTGCTCTGCAGGAAAGTGAATTTTGACATGAAGAGACCAGAACTGAAAAATGTGGAAGGGAAAACATTATAGAACTAGTGAAAAATCTCATTTATTAGCCTGTAGATTTCTGTTAACTATGAATATTGACTAATATATTAAAGAGAAATAAATCATGCAATAATGGTCACATTTGATTCAAAAACTTTCATCAGAAGAATAATATATCTGTATTTTAATCTATATTAAAACAAGCAACCATCTGATACAATACATGCTTTCATATAATCTAAAGAATGCACATGAATATGTCAATACATTTTGGGACTAGAAAACAAATGATCAAATAGGTCTCTCCAGAATTAAGGTTACTAATACCTAAACATTATTTGATCTAGTTGGAAAAGTTAGTTGATCTAGTGAAAAACTGAAAATATTTGTTCAAATGTTTGTGAATATATTATGCAAATAGGTTTATGCCTATTACAATTATAATCATGTCAAGTATCTTCATTAATATATCATCATGGTATATTTGACAATAACTAAGGGAAGTTATGGCCATAACTTGATACTACACATTAAAATTTAAACTCAAGCCTCAATCAAGCTACCGATCACTTGAAATTAGCCACCTATTTCTGTGATTTCATATTTACTATCAACTGGCATTATTGTTTTGGTGCATTTTTTAACTATTGGAGGAAATTCTTATATTAGTTCATTTAAAAATATCTCAAGAATGTAAAACTGTTTGTGTGTTCTACTACCATGTAGTAGATTAAAATGCTAGTAAAGAAATATATTTCCTCATGAAGCAACCTAACATATATTCTGCATGAAAATGACAATGTATCAATAACAGCATAGAAATCTACAGTAAGTGGAATTTACTATTGATTTTGTTAGCCCAACTATGGAGTGATATTCTAGAATTCTAATGATGCATTCCAGATCGCTCAAAAACCAACTCCAAGATTATTTTTGTGATCATAATAGCTAAGAAGCTTATAAATCCCTATGTAAAAAAATTGTATCTTTTTCAGATCAAAATTGTTTCTAATGTCTTTCTTCGAAATTGAAATTACATATATTACATATCCCTAAGAGAAAATCAGCTTCTCCAGGAGGGAAAACATGAGTCATGGTTTTTTATTGTTCCTCTAAGCAATTGCTAAACTAAGTAACTGGATAGCACATATTTTTGACCAGCTTGATACATTGCAATTATAACAATCATTTATATCATGTAGTGGTATTTATCAAATCCAACATAGCAATCTAAAATGAATAATTTCACCAACATTATTCACTTTTAGACATAATTAGTTATTCATAGTCTTAGAAATAGGCTCTCAGAGGACATTAGAGAAATCTGTACTAAATAAAATAGACAATTTTTTCCCTTGCTTCATACCACTCCTTATAAATATTCATTTTCAATGATTTTATATTAAAACATCGTTGGAGGACTAATTTGAGATTCTTACCAAAATTTAAGATGTTTATATCTTTGGAATTATATTTTCTGAAAGTACCTATACTTGAAACAAAATGAAATGTACAAAGCAATATATAAGAAGATACTCATTCTAACAAACGACCACATGTGTAAATGACTAAGAACAGCTTACTTTTGTGAAAAGTGGTACATATCCATCTATATCTTTGAGGACTGTCTGCCTTTAATAATAGTATATATAAAACTATGATTTTATTACTGTTACAGTTATTATTATTGCAGACTTGTTTAAACGGGGGTGGGGAGCAGGTTAGGAAAGGAGGGAAGGAATACAGTAATAGTAGCTCCCTTTTAGAAGGAGACACAGGAGTCTTGAGTAGAATGGAGGTTTATTTTTCACCATACGTTCTACTTTCCACTATTTGAAAATTTAAATTTACCTGCACATTTCCAACAAGAAATGAAATAGAAATAATGTGTTTGAAAAGAAGGGTAACATTTGAAATGTTGGTGTGAAGTTGA